TAGAAAAATCTTAACTGAAAATCTTGTCATAGGAAAGGTGTGTGCAACAATGATCCTGAAGGAGCTCTTGCATCATGACAATGCACCAACTCACACAGCACTGTTTGTGAGGTAGTTTTTAGCCGGTAAACAAGTAACTGTATTGGAACACCCTCCCTACTCACCTACTATGGCCCCCCAATGACTTTTCTCTTTACTGGAAGTTAAAGGAAATATTGAAAGGAAGACACTTTGATGACATTGAGGACATCAAGGGTAAGACAATGGCAGCTCTGATGGCCATTCCAGAAAACGAGTTCTGGTACTGCTTTCACTGGTGGACTAGGTGCTGGTGTCAGTGCATAGCTTCTCCAAGGGGAGTACTTAGAAGGTGACCCTAGTGATATTCAGCAATGAGGTATGCCTGTAATTCTAGTACTTTGGGAGGCTGAGGCAGGGGGATTGCTTGAGCCTAGGAATTTGAGACTAACTTGGGCAAAAAAGTGAGACTCTGTCTCTACAAAAATACTAAAAAAATTAACTGGGCTTGGTGACACGCATGTATAGTCCCAGCTGCTCAGGAGGCTGAAGTGGAAGGACTACTTGAGCCCAAGAATTTGAGGCTGCAGTGAGCAATGATCACACCGCTGCACTCTAGCCTGATCGACAGAGTGAAACCCTGTCTTAAATTTTAAAAAATTTAAAAAATGAAAAAAAAAAAAAAAGGAAAGGCTTCTAGACCTAAATGATAAGAGATACAATTGCAAAAAGCCTTTGAGATATAAGGCTTCCTAAAAATGTTTAGTTAAAGTAACCTAGCCAAATGGAAACAAATAAGAAGAATGTGCCTTCTTATCTATTGTTTAAGATAATTGCAAGGTTGCCATTAAGTGAGGAGAAAGAAGCATGGAGGAAGAGAAAGCAAAGCATCAGGGTATGTTTGAAAACCCTTTTTGGGAAAGGGCTTTGTGTAAGTGTTCTGAAAATGGAACTTTGTGAAAGCAAATAGAACGGAAATCTACTAAGTTTTTAAGGAGGTAAATTGTTAAGAAATCGTGAATTCGGATTCAAAAAGTTTTTGATTATGAGACCTAAAACTAATTTCAGGATGGCATACTTGCACCAGTAGGAGGCTAGCTAGCTATCTACATTGAATAACCGGGCTCGGTGGCTCAGCCTGTAATCCTGTGCCTTTGGGAGGCTGAGGTGAGTGAATTGCCTGAGCCCGCGGGTTCGAGACCCGCCTGGGCAGCGGGATGTCATCTCTACAATAAATCAAAAAATCAGCCGGGCGTGGTAGCGCATGCCTGTAATTCCGGCTACTCGAAGGCTGAGGCGGAAGGATCACCGGAGCCCAGCAGGCGAGGCTGTGGTGGCCAGGAGCAGCCACTGCACTCCAGTCTGGGCGACCGAGTGAGACTCCAACTCCAAAAAAAAAAAAAAAAAAAGAATAAGTGCAAAATCAAAAAATAAGGCTTCAGAAATAAGCAGACATTTCACAGCAACCCCCAAAGGGTGGGTAGTGCCCAATACCCAAAGTAGAGATGGCCATGGTAGATAATGGAAAAGAAAGACCCTAAAGGGAAAGAATTAGAGGCTGCACAGAGCAATGGCCAAGGAATTCTTCCCAGAAAGTAGAACCAGAGTGTAATCCAAGAGTCTGGACTCACAGTTCTTTGCCATCAGGATTTCAGAATTGCTATGAACCATGATGGCTATGTGTGTTTCCCTGCTTTCTAAACTGGGATTTTAATTTGCTGTTGCTCTGTCCCTGTGCCACCATTGCATATTGGGTGTGTATAGAGTAGGGGGTGGGTGAGAGGCAGATAACTTTCTTTTTTAGTTCATAGGTCACAGGGCCACCAGGAGGCCTGGTGGAGAGTAACTGGATCATTGGTGATCTTGAGCTTTGAGCTAGCTAGCTAGTTAGAGACTGGTAGGGCTGATCAAAGTCTGTTTCCTTTACCTTCTAGGTACACAGCTTGTCTACTCTCTTGATGTTAAATGAAGTCATGGGACTGAGTTTTGGCCAATAAAACATGGCTGGAATTGATGTACAGTATTTCTAGCTGGGCCCCCTCCAAGTCTCCCTTGGGATTAACTACACCCTGCAGATAATTCACTGGAGAGCTTTGTGGCCTCTGGGATAGCAGAGTCATTAAATGGAAGGATCCTAGGTCCCTGAATAACTCTGTGGAGCAGAGCTTCTGGCATGCATTGGAATGTGATATGAACTGGAAATAAAACTTTATTAAGTCAACTGATCTTGTAAACAAATCTTTGTTGAGCTTTTGGGATCACCTGTTATTGCAATTAGCCTACTTTGACCAACGTAGTCATCAAAGCTATGTACAATGACTGTGCGTGGTAACCTGTAATCCTCACATTGGGAGGCCAAGGCAGGAGGATTGCTTGAGGCCAGGAGTTTGAGACTAGCCTGGGCAACACAGCAAGACTCCATCTCTTAAAAAAAAAGTAAGTCAAACTATGTACAATGAAACATATAGAATATGTGTTGATTTTACTTTTCACCCTCCAATTTTTTTTCTCACCAAGAACAACCTTACTTCTGGTTGAGATTGAATTTTCTTTTATGTCCCATATTGTTCTTGTGCCCTGAAGTTAGTCAATCACAAGTGTTACAAACTGTCTAAACTCAGATCTACTATTTATTAGTAATGTGACCTTAGACACATATCAGTCTGTCTCTGCCTCAGTTCCCTCATCCGTAACATGGGGATAACAATAGTGTCTGCCTTGAGTTTTTGTGAAAGTTAAGCAAATTAGTCCACATATATGCTTAGCACACCAGCTGGCAGATAGTAAGTACTCAGTAAATGTTATACCATCAATACCATCTCCATCATCATCATCATCAGTTGCTAGATATATACTTGGCTCTAGTGATGGCATTGAATGAGATATGCAAGTTCTGGTCTTCTGTGAGATGTCTGCTTCTGTCAGAAGCCTTATTTTCTTTTTTTTGAGTTGGAGTCTCACTCTGTCGCCCAGACTGGAGTGCAGTGGTCTCGAACCCGCGGGCTCAAAAAGCCTTATTTTCGACTTTGCACTTGTTCAGGGTCATCTCTATTAAATACTTAATTTGAAGAGAAGGGTTTTGCCTCCCTCCAACCTACTCTAGAAAACACTGATTATAGTTGGGAACGTTCTCCGTCTAGCTGAGTGTTCTGAGTCAGTACCTGTGTTCCCTTTAGTGGCTTTACTCTGTGAGTGCTGCATTTGCCTGTATCCTGTGGCAATTGGAGTGGGAGGAACAGAGGGAGGCTAGAATCCCTGTTGGCGGAAGGAACCGCTTTCTGCCCTCGGAGTCACTTCCTGTTTGGATGGACTTCCTGCTTGGAGCCACTTCCTACTTAGATTCCTGCTGGGATGAAAAACGGCCGTTGTTGTGCTTACAGAAGCACACTTTACTCCTTTTTGTGTCCCTGTTCTCAAGGTACACTGCTCTGCCAACTCACTTCTGACAATGTGTAGGCAACACTTGCAAGACCCAGGGGGTTTAGAATCCCGCCCCTTATTTATGTATGTATGTATATATGTATTTATAGAGAACCAGGGTCTCACTCTGTCGCTCAGGCTGGAGTACAGCGGCATGATCACTACTTCCTGAAGCCTTGACCTCCTGGCCTCTGGTGATCCTCCCACCTCAGCCTCCTGAGTAGCTGGAACTACAGGCATGCACCACCACGCCTGGTTCGTTTTTTGATTTTTTTTTGGTAGAGATGAGGTTTCACTATGTTGCCCAGGCTGGTCTCCCGGTCTCAAGCAATCTTCCTGCCTCGGCCTCCCAAAGTGCTGGGATTATAGGCACGAGCCACCTTCTTTATTTACCTATGAGAACGGAGACTTGAGCTTGTACCAGCGCTGTCTTGTCCCTCCCCCACACCATGCATTTAGGTGTCTGGTTTACCTGCATGCCTGAGTTTGTGTCCTTGTGGCCACACACTTGGTGTGGGCCATCTCCCTGGTATGCGTCTCTCATTGATACTAACTAGGCAGGCACACCCACTTGCCTTGGCATGTTTTATGGATGACCCAAGCTGCAAACATAAACATGTATAAGACATATGCTCTCTTCTTTGTGTAACTTCAGGCACCAAAATATGCCTACACACAGGGGTATGTGCATACAGACACACGCGTATTCTTTTTTTGCCTGGTAGAAATATGCTTCTGTGATGTTCCTTCTCCTCCCACTCATGCCCCTCCATGGCTGGCACATCTCCTAATTATTCCCATCCACTCCCTCCCATAGACCTTTTGTGTGTATATTTTGGCACACATTCTCCTGGTTCCGCCTAGTTCCTTTCTCCCTCTCTTTTTTCCCTCTGCCTCCCTCCCTCTCCCTCCTCTTCACAACTCTTTAGAAAATTTGTTAAACTATACACTCTTTATTATTAAGGTACATTTATGAAAAATTTCTTCACAGTTACAAAAGTGCATGATTATAAAATCATCTCCATACAAAGGTTGACATCTTCCCTTTGACCCCACCCCTCCCCACCCCTCCCACCCCCAGACATTAGCACTCTACAGAGCAGCGCTGAGAAACACTGAGAGCTCTGTGGATCCAGCTCTCTACCCAATGCTGTCACAAACATGACAATGATTTACAAAGGACCTTGCGACTTGCTTTCCTCACTTCCCATTTGCCTCCTCCTGGGGTGGGGAAGAGCAGATGAGTTTCTCTAGCTTTGGGAAGATGTCCTCTTGAGGAATGGAGGAAGATATTTCCTTATGCTCTCCTACCCCTGGAAAGAATGTCAGCCAAGACATCTATGGGGGAAAATGGGGACTGTGGTCTTCCCTGATGGCTGAAGACAAACACCTGTCTTGATCTGTTCAAATTTCATACATCTTGCTCCTTAAAAGGAGGCCATGAACCGCTGTAGTAACTCTGGAGACCTGTTTCTGCAAGATTCCCTGGGAATCCTTACAGGCATGGAGAAACAGAGATGAGGGTTTATCTGAGGGTAACCAGAGGTAACTGGTCCTGAATGGTGTAGTTTGGATATGGGAGCTTTTCTAAGGAAGAATTATTTTGGCCCAAACCTTGAACATCATAGTCCTTTTGGTTAGCTAAACTTGGATATCCTTGGGCCCAGCATGGAGGAAGCTTCTGTGATGATGACAAGTCTCCGAGGGGCAGGAGGGAACAGAGGGAAGCGAGGGAAAGTCAGATTCTCCTTAGGATGCCTCTGCCACCGAGTTTTCCTTTTTTGTGTTTTCTGAGCTTTCACTTCCACCCTGGACTAGGTGGGCTTCCATGTTGTTCTATTAAACAATGCAATAGCCAAATGGCTGAGTGGACTGTGTCAGAGAACTGGATCCAATTCCAGAGAGATCTGCCCCATGTCAGCAGTTAACCAACATATAAGGAAACTCACAGACAGATACACAGTTGCAGAGATACCCCATCACATGCATGCTGACCTGTCTGGACAAACTGAATGAAACCTTGTGGGAACACCATCATGGCTTTGGGGTCACCAGGGCTGTAAGAGCAGTTCCAATCTGGATTGCTAGATTCCCTCTAGAAACTTGCTTCTGATTGCCTAAACAAGACGGTGGTGGTGTTGGGAGAAGCAGAGAATTCCTTGACTGTAGGGAAGTTGAATTCCTCCTTTATTGTGCTGTTGTTAACTGGGGACCTTCTAGCAGCTACAAAAACACCTGACCTTCAAAAGTCATGTATCCTGCTCAGAAAGGTTTGCTCTTAGTAGAGACTAAATTGTCCCACTAGAAAAGACATTTGATCTCAAGCGGAATTTGGTGTCTTGTCTGATTCTAGCTCTATGCAAAAAATAAAGTACATACCTTAAAATATATTAGCTATATTTCAGCAAACAAGAGTCCCTAGGAGATTATTATAGATGTATATGGTATTCCTTTATGGGGAGCTTACCTATTTTGTCAGGATTATTATTTCTAAAAGTTCCTCTCCAAGTATTTAGGTTGTCAGCTGGACTGGTGAGAACAGCCTGTCTGCCATCCTTGGTCATAGTGAAAGAAGAGAGCAGGGCACAGTTCTGCTTCGGTTGTCACAGGGGCAGGGCTCTGGTGCAGATGCTGTAAGCAAGATTTGGGGACACAGGTTCAAGTACCTCAGGACTAGCAAAGTTTCTGAAGACTCTTTTGGTTGACTAGCTCAGGAAAGGATGAGTGAAGGATGACTTACTTCTTGGAAGACGATGTGTTATCCTCCTTCCTTCCTTTCAGGCTTGCCAGGAGGATGGGGCAAGGAACTGCGGCTGGTGCTGGGGGCAAGGCAGAAAGCATCTTTTGAATTCTCCTCTGAACCAGCCTTGCCAGTATGCCTGATGTTCTCTCCCTAAACTGCAGAGGCTCTCACTGTGGCTTTCTTGGACTCTTGTTATCTCTTGGAACACAGCACAGCAGGGCTTGAGTAGGAGTGGTTAACTCAGCTTCCTTTTCTGCTTATTTTTTCACAGGACTGCCATGATGGCCATGAGCTCCAATGCTTTATTTACACATCGTAAAGCAGGTGTCTCCCATTCAGATGTCAGCCATACAGAGGCTGTGATTTTCCCTGCCTACCGTGAGCGTAGCTAAATCTGTACAGTGGCTGGATTGTGCTGTGTTTTACTTAGTGGATCTTCTAGCATGATCATGGCTGCTGAATTCTAGGGCCCCGCAGTCCAGCCCTCCGAGGCTTGTTTTCCCCAAGCACGTGGAAAAACACTGGAAAGAAAACTGTGTCGGAGTCGAATCCCAAGCAGGCAAGTCATATGCAATCTCTGCTTTCTCATCTGTAAACCAGGATTACTGATGTTTGGTTTGTCGCCTGCACAGGGCTGTGAAAAGTCACAGAGGAGGATGCAAAAGCATTCGTTAACTATCCAGTGCTGAACCAACACAGCGAAGATGATGCGCTGACGAAACTGACGTTGAAGATGGAGGTGATGTCAACGATGGTGATAATTGTGCTTTGCTCATAAGGTTACTTGATTTTTGGCTGACCGATTAGACGCCGTTTCCCTGAATGGAGCTGTCTATCGCCTTCCTTCTAGGTTTTATCCAGACAAACTTGGGCAAGTCCCTCAACTCTCTACTATTAATTCACCTGAAAAATGGGGAGAATAAAAGCCGCCAGGTAGTGTTGCTATGAGAAATGAAATAGACGAGTCAATAGATATAAAAGTGCCCAGAGCAGTGTCTGGCCCCAACTTTGTTAGCACAACTTGAATTTGAATTTATGTAACTTTAGAGGGAATTTTGATGTTCCCCCAGCTTGGAGGGAACAGTGGAAAGAACACAGACTTTATCTTGCTCATCAAGTGGCCTATGCCTTTAACCTCTCTGAGTCTTAATCGACTCATCTGTAAAATGGGAACAACGATGTTCGCCTCAAAAGATGGTTATGTGTGCAAAAGGGAATTGTCTGTGGAGAGAGCTTATCACAGTGTCCGGCACTGGTGAGGGTCCAGCAATTAACAGCTCTCTCACCCTTGTGCTTAAGTGGGTGGGTTGTGGAAAAGAAAAAAGAAAATGCAAACCCTCCTACGGTCATGACTGTGCTGGCTTTGTCCTCCTTCAGCCCCGGGTACTGCCAGGCTATGGGTCTGTGGCCCACACAGTGCGCTTTCCTGATGAGGTCCCTCGGCGTGAGCACTCTGGCAAGAACGGCCACGTGACGGGGGTCCCAGGGACCAGGACTCTCACTACCCCAGTTGCCAGGTCTCCTGTTTCTTCCAAAGCCAAAGTTGGAGTGAGAGGGAGGAGAAAGAGCATTGAAGGTACCCGTCTTCAACCTGCTGCCTGGGACCTCACCAGCAGGTGGCAATTGGTGATGTCGTATGGGGGGCAGTCACTGGAAGGTGGTCTCACCTACTTGCTGCTGGTGGAAGCATGGGGGCATTCTCACTCCCAGGAGGCAGTGGCTGGCAGTGCTGAGAGCTGACAATTTGGGTGTTGGAGGGAAAGTTTTGGTTCTGTGCCACACCCTTTCTGGACACTTAAGTGACCAGGGACTGTTCACTTGTCTCAACACAGCACACAACGTACATTCTGGGCTTTGTTATTTGTGATGCCCTTCTTTGTATACTTGACAATTTCTTGATGACCTCGCTCACAGATCACTTCATTCTTGCAATTTTCTTGGACTTGGTGGGACCCAGCTGACGGCTTCTTCTCTGGCCTTCCATAACTATGTGCTCAGAGTCCTGACAAATCGTCTTAAGGGGAAAAGATTTGGGATCTCTCTCCTCTGTCAGAGGTAAGTGCTCTGGGGGTAGGGACTGGCTGATTCGTCTGCTGCTCCTGGGTCCTGGCATAGTGCCTGGCCCAAGGCAGATGCTCATGTGAAGATGATTTCCTGACCTTGTTCCTGCCATCACTGAGGCGGCCAGGGCACTGTGGAACCAGAGTGAGCGGTCAGAGAGTGTCCGGCGGGCAGCAGCAGTGGCAGCATGGAGGGATGAGAGGCACCCACATCAGATCTCTTCCTCTTCGCTGGCCTTGCTCCAACGGTGGCAGCAGTTGGCTGTGATACCCAGGAGGAAGTTGGTGGCCACGGAGGCGATGGAGACCACGAAACCCACGAACGCGATGAAGAGGTAATCATCCAGGGTCAGGGTCAGGTGGCAGGCCTTGAAGCTCTCCTCGGTGAGTGAGAAGAGTGGTGCACCCTCGACTTCAGGGGGGCCCCGGCACTCAGCCAGCTGAGAATCTGCAAACACAGAAGCCAGGGAGGATGAGGTGCCGTGGAGAAAGAAGGGATTGGAGGGCCCCCCACCCCTCCCCAGAGAAGGGAAGAAAGACATTTGTTGAGTTTCCTCCGTATGTCAAAAATTCTACTTATCTTCTTTACCTCCAAGGCAAGGTTTTTTAAAACATTAATTAATTAATTAATTTATCTATCATTTTTATTATATTTTGGGGCATGGTCTTACTCCTGTTGCTCAGGCTGGAGTGTAGGTCGTGTCACCATCGCTCACTGCAGCCTCGACCTCCTGGATTCAAGGGGCCCTCCCACCTCAGTCTCCCAAGTAGCTGGGGCTTCACAGTCATGAACTACCATGCCTGGCTAATTTAAAAAATTTTTTGTAGAGATGAGGTCTTGCTATGTTGAGCAGGCTGATCTTGAACTCCTGGGCTCAAGAAATTCTCCCACCTCAGCCTCCCAAAGTGCTGGGATTACAGGCGTGAACCACTATGCCCAGCCCAAAGCAAGGGTATTTATACCTATTTTTATAGATGAAAAATCACTGCTTAAAGAGTTTAGCAATTTACTGAAAGTCTCAAAGCTGCTACCAGCAGTAGGTCTGGGCTTTCCTGGGACACCATCGTCTCTTACAACAACCTCCTAACTGCTCTCTGGGCATCTGCCTTGTGCTATTTCAACACAGTCTGCTGAGTGACTCTTTCAAACTTGAAGTCCCGCCATGTCACTGTCTGCTTGAAACCCCAGCTTCCTGGTGAAAGCCAAGGTCCTTGCTGTGCGCTCCAGGGACTCTTTCTCGTCTTTTCTACTCTGCTCTATGTTTACTCTGCTCCAGCTACGTACGCCTCTTCTGTGACCCCAGCATATTCCCTCTCAAGATGGGGAAGGAGTGCTTTTGCATGTCTCCCCTTGAGAGGGAGTTTCTCCCCTGGATCTCTGCACAGCTCAGCCTCCCCACTTCCTTTGGGACTTAGCCCAATCCCATCTTATTAGTGATGACTTCCCTTATAACTCTGTTTAAAATAGTACCCCCCTTCACCTGTCCCAGACTCCCTATTTTACCTGCTCTGCTTTGTTTTTCTCCATAGGATTGATCAATGCCCGTCAGTGTATTTTTGGCTGTCTGTCGTCTCCCTTTTGAATATAAACTCCTCCTGCAGTATCCTTAGCATCAGAGCAGTACCTTTTCTGTAGTGAACACTCAGTGAACTTTTGTCAAATGGACTCAGGACTCTGTCTAACTCTAAAGCATTGGGTCTTTCTACTACCTGTGTGGCTTTTCCAGATACATGGAGTATAGGGTTAAAAGTATTGGTTCTGGATCTATCAGCCTGGGTTCAAATCCCCTTCTCACTCTTCACTAATGGTGTGATTATGGGCAAGTTATTTAAAGCCTCCATGTCTTGGTTTCTTCATCTGTCCGACAAGGATAATAAAAGGATCTACCCTACATCAGTGTGTTAACGTATATACATTATCTGTTCCTGGTTCATAATAAGCACTCTGCAAGTGTGAGTCTTTATTATTACTGAGGGTGGTTTCTCTAGGCAGGTCACTGGGGGTCATACACAGTACTCAGGATTCTGAGGCAGGCGCTGCTCCTCTCATGAGGTTCCTGTTTTCTCCAGCAGTGATCTTTGTGAAGTTGTCAGTGGTCTCATCTCACTCTGCCTGGGAGCTAAGAATTGAGTGTAAGAGGCAGTTCTGCTGTGCTGTGTGAGTTTTTTTTTGAGTTGGAGTCTCACTCCGTCGCCCAGGTTGGAGTGCAGTGGCATGCTCACAGCTGGCGATCCTTCTGCCTCAGTCTTTCAAATAGCTGGAACTACAGGTATGCGCTACCATGCCTGGTTAATTTTTGATTTATTGTAGAGACGAGGTCTCGCTGAGTTTCCCAGGCTGGTCTCGAACCCGCTGGCTCAGGCAATCCATTCTCCTCGGCCTCTCAAAGTGTTGGGAATACAGGCTGAGCCACCGAGCCCGGCCTGGCACTGGCTTTTGAGTAGCCAGTCATTCCTTCATTCAGTGGATAAGTGTGAGTCAAGGTCATATATTAAGAAAGTCTTTTTTTTTGCCTTTTTGCCTCTCGAGTTCTGTCTCGCTAAGGAGGGGATAATCCAGTCGGCTGCTGTGGCTCACGCCTGTAATCCCAGCACTTTGGGAGGTGGAGATGAGAGGATTGCCTGAGCTCAGGAGTTCGAGACCAGCCTGGGCAACTTGGTGAAAGCTCGTTTCTATAAAAAGTCTGCTGGGCAGGGTGGCATGCAACTGTGGTTCCAGTCACTTGGAAGGCTGAGGCAAGAAGGATCGCCTGAGCCTAGCAGGTCAAGGCTGCAGTCACGAGCATGCCACTGCACTCTAGCCTGGGAGATAGTGAGAATCTGACTAAAAAAAAAGGGGGGGGGGGATAATCCAACCTAAATTTTCTAAGAAAGACCATGTGAAGAAGTTTTCTAAATTATGGAGTGTATCAATGCTGTGTATTTATTCTGCAATTTGGACTGACCCTTCTGAGAAGTGGATTAGTAACAATATCCTTAGAAAAAAGGAGTCAGCAGACACAGAAAACCAAACACTGCATGTGGGTACCACTCATATGTGGGAGATAAGTGGTCACAAAGATGGAAATAATAGACACCGGGGGCACCAACAAGGGGAGAGGAGAGGAGGGAGGTTAGGATTCAGAAATTAATTATGGGATACAATGTTTACTATTTGGGGAATGGGCCACCTGAGACCTAATCCCCACCACTACACAATGTGTCTATGCAACAAACGTGCTTGTGTAACTCAGAATCTAAAATGAAGATTAAAAAAAATTTTTTTTTTCTGTCAGCAAAAGAAAAGAAAAGAAATGGGGAGTCAGATTCCGCAAGAGGATGCAACCTTCCCCAAATCCCAGGTTGAATTGTCCCTGTAGGCTGTGAATATAGGACTTCAGGCCCTGTCCAGGCTGAGATCATATCTGAGGTTGACCCTTGTGAGCACTTCCCTGGAAACTGGAAGACATTGAACTTGAAAGTATATTGAGTATGTGAAGAGAGTAGGGGTGAGACAGAACTTGGGGGTATGGGGACACTCATATGGTCTCTGAGGGCTATTGTTGGCACCGCACAGGACACAACAGGAAATTTTGGGGCTGACATAACTCTCTGGTAAGTCAAGGACCAGAACTGAAGCCACACTGTATCCCAAGGGCTTGCTTAGGTCCCTCTTTGATTGAATTTTTCCAAAAAGCATGAATAATAGTGAGAATTTCTTTTTTTTTTTTGAGTTGGAGTCTCACTCTGTCACCCAGACTGGAGTGCAGTAGCATGCTCCCAGTCACCGCAGCCTTGACCTGCTGGGCTCTGGCAATCCTTCTGTCTCAGCCTTTCAAGGAATAGGAACTACAGGCGTGTGCTACCACGCCCGGCTAATTTTTTATTTATTGTAGAGACGAGGTCTCGACAAGTTGCCCGGGTGGGTCTCAAACCCGCGAGCTCAGGCAATCCACTCGCCTCGGCCTCTCAAAGCACTGGGATTACAGGCTGAGCCACTGAGCCCAGCCAATAGTGAGAATTCCATGAAGAAAAAGGAGAAAAGGCCAGATGTCTTAAACCTAGCCTGGGCAACTCCATGAGACCTTGTCTCTACAATAAATCAAAAAATTAACTGGGCGTAGTGGTGCATACCTGTAGTTCCAGCTACTTAGAAGGCTGAGGTGGAAGGATCACCTGAGCCCAGCAGGTTGAGGCTGCGGTGGCTGTGAGCATGTCACTGCACTCCAGCCTGGGTGTCAGAATGAGACTCCAACTAAAAAAAAAAGGGAAAAAACAGTGGAAAAAGCCCTAGAGTATCGGCCAGGCACAGTGGCTCACGCCTGTAATCCCAACACTTTGGGAGTCCAGGCAGGAGGATCGCTTGAGCCCAGGAGTTCAAGACCAGCCTGGGCAACAGAGCAAGACCTCGTCTCAACAAAAAATCAGAAAATTAGCCAGATGATGTGGTGCATGCCTGTAGTCCCAGCTACTTGGGAAGAATCTTTTGAGCCCAAGAGGTTGAGGCTGCTGTGAGCTGTGATAGTGCTACTGTAGTCCTGCCTGGGTGACAGAAACTCTGACTCAAAAAAATAGTTTCACTTAGACCTGCCTACACTGGCAAGTTTTTGTCCCTGAGAGGAAGTAACCTGGTGAGTGTGGCATGGCATATAGTATGCTACGGGAAGGGACAGGGGACCTGGGTTTCTAGCTGTGGCCAGCTTGCTTTCTCACCATGGGCCTGTGGACAGCCACTGCCCACCTGTGGAGCTCGAGTCCCTCACCTGTACTGATGTGTGACACTGCAGTGATGGGATCTTGGACCCCTCTCCCACTTGCTGGGACTCTAGGCTTCTGTAGGGCAGCAGTGACTTCAGATATCCCAGAAAAGGAGGCGTCCTGGGTGTGATGGCAGCTTAGTACCTCCGGGTGTCCTTTCTGTCATTAGTGCACAGGAGAGAGAGGGACAGCTTCCTGCAGGGGTTGAGCAGGTGGGGAGATCGCTCCAGTGCCTCCCCTCTGCCCCCACCATCGCCCCATCTCAGTCCCCAGCTATTTTGGTCCCAGAGAACGTCTTCCCACAGTTCTGTGGAAACAGTGGAATCGTGACCCACAGCCTCCCCAAACTATTCTGGTCCTGGGCTCCCCACTCAGTCCTCCCCTTCCACCCACCTCATTCAGCATTGCTTCTCTGCCACACACGCTGAGCCCAGGCTCTGGGAAAGCCCCTGGGATAGTGTCCCCGACTACTCCTGTTGGTCTATGGCTGGACGCTTTTGCTGAGGCCTAGTGCTACCACACGGCAGAGCTGGTGGCTGGGGCCACAGCTGCACATCGCCTGCCTCTCAGCCAGGCTTGGAGCCACTGGTGATGCCACAGCCTATCAAATCTGTGTGATTCAGCTTCTTCAGGTCCAGAGCCACCCTCCAGTCGGGATTGGGGGTGAAGTTGCCACCTCGCAGTCCTTTTCTCAGCTCCCCTCTCTATGCCCAAACTTTGCAGGACTCTCCTGAGGCCCTTTGGCCAGTCCAGAACTCAGGACCCTCCTTCCATCCACCCAGAACCTGACTCTTCAGGATATAGCTGGAGGACAGGAAGGCTTCCAGGGCTCGAATTCTGACTTCAACACTTTGCAGCTGTGTGACTTTGATCAAGCTACTGAACCTCTCTGTGCCTCAGTTTCCTCCTCCCTCTGTAGAGTGGGAGCCTCATTAGGGTTCTTGTGAGGATAAAAGGAGACAAAATATATAATGTGCTTAGAATAGGACGTAGCAGATAGTGAGAACGAAAGTAGTGTTAGCCATTACTATTTACACAAGAGTTTTCCAATGCTTAAAACACTTAGAAAAGCTATCTGGTAGAGAAAACCAAGGCTTACAAGTCAAATAAATCTGGGTTTAATTCATGGCTCTGCTACTTTCTAGATGACTCTAGGGAAGCTTTTTTTTTTTTTTGAGTTGGAGTCTCACTTGGTCGCCCAAACTGGGGCGCAGTGGCCGCTCCTGGCCACCGCAGCCTTGCCTGCTGGGCTCCGGCGATCCTTCCGCCTCAGCCTTCCGAGTAGCCGGAATTACAGGCATGCGCTACCACGCCCGGCTGATTTTTTTACTTATTTATTGTAGAGATGAGGTCTCGCTGCCCAGGCGGGTCTCCAACCCGTGGGCTCAGGCAATCCACTCACCTCAGCCTCCCAAAGGTGCGGGGTTACAGGCTGAGCCACCGAGCCCAGCTGGGGAAGCATTTTTATTGTTCTAAATCTCAGTTTATTTGCCTGTGAAATGGGGTAGAAAAAATGGGGGTCCCATGAGATAATGCAGGCCAAGTCCCTAGGTCATGGGAAAAGCTCAATAAACACCATTTATGATGAGCTATTCTCATGGCCACACAGCCTCAACCTACCAGACTCAGGTGATCCTTCCGCCTCAGCTTTTCAAGTAGCTGGAACTACAGGCATGCGCCACCACGCCCAGTTAATTTTTTGATTTATTGTAGAGATGAGGTCTCGCCAAGTAGCCCAGGCTGGTCTTGAACCCGTGGGCTCAGGCAATCCTCTCACCTTGGCTTCCCAAAATGCTGGGATTATAGGCATGAGCCACTGTGCCAGGTCCATGATGAGCAATTCTCAACAGTTTGCCATCTGCCTGCCTCATTGGGTCATAAGTGCCAAGAGGCAAGGGGTTTCTGCTGCATGCACAGGGGCCCTAGAGCCTAGCATGCCTTGCAAAGATTTGACAACTACACGTGAACCGAAACATCTGGTGCATGAAAAGGCAAGCCCAGAGCAGGGTACACTGCAGGTACCCCAAGTTCTAAGTCCCTCCCTCTTCCTGGGAGCCTTGGCTTCCAGTGAGGCAAGCCCTTCCGCTGGCTGTCCCCTCCTGCCCTCTCTTACCCGCTGTGCAACGCTGGATCCGGTTCCGCAGCCATTTCAGCAGGGGCTCCATGGTGCATCCGCACACCCAAGGGTTGCCGCCGATCTGCAGGGTCACCAGCCCCGGCAGGCCCTCCAGGGCCTCGAGGCTGAGGAAGGCCAGGCCCCCATAGCTGAGGTCTAGGTCTCGGAGTTGCACGAGGCCCTGGAAAGCCTGGGGGTGCACCCTCCGCAGCCAGGGGTTGTGGCTCAGGTCGATGTGCACCAGCCCGTGGGCCTGCTGGAACATGTCGGCCGGCACGTGGCTGAGGTTGTTGTAGCTCAGGTCCAGGTGTGCCAAGCGCTTGGCGTGGAGGAAGAGGCCGGCGGGCAGCTCCATCAGGGAGTTATTACGCAGGTTCAGTGCCCTGAGTTCCACATAGCATGTGAGGTAGCCAGGCGGCACAGCAGCGATGCGGTTGTGGGCCAGGCTGAGGTTGCGGGTGTCCATTGGCAGGTCCGGCGGCACCGAGAAGAGCCGCTGGCCGCTGCAGTCCACCACCTGGTTACGGCATGTGCAAAGGACCGGGCAGCTGGTGCCAGCATCCGAGTGCATCACCCCAGCAGCCAAGAGGAGGGAGACCAGCAGCATAGTTGGGTGGGGGGGCCCGGGCCAGGGAAGCTGGGCCCAGGTGTCACCCATCTTAGGCAGCTGGCCACAGCAGTGCTGAAGGGAGCCCATTGGGACTCTGTCCATGGAACTGAGAGTTGGTGGCACAGGAAGGCAGCTACATTGGGGGCCAGAGCCCACTAAGGAGGGGTTTCTCAGCACGTGGCATCATCACGGGAACCTCTAAGCACCAAAGGGCTTCCTGAGAGCCACAGGAAGTCACCTTCTGGAGCCCAGGGGGCGAGAAACCCTGTCCAGGTCCCCCACGGTCTGAAATGATGATCAAAACTTGAGAAGGGAAGGGGACAAGGATGGGGCTGGATCAGCTGCCAGCAGGTCCTGGAAGGGTTCCCGCAGATGCTTTGTGTCTCTCTCACCCATGCCTGCTGGATACTTCCTCTTGACACTGTCTGAGAGGTGGGAGGGAGGGTCTGAAGGAGATGAAAGGTGCCCTTTAAAGGTCCTGGCACTTCTTCTAAGAAAAGTTAAGCCCCGTCCCAAGTCTGGAACTGATTAGGAAGCCAGGGCTGCACCTGGGTCTCTAGCATTCAAGGTCTCAGAGGCCATTTCTCCTGATGGCCTGGTGGACTTGAGTCCAAGGGGGTCCCAGGGTGGGTGTTTTGGGAAGGGAGCCCAGGAGGAAGTAGGTCTCCGTGGGCCTCCTAAAAGCCGGAGAACCTAAGCCTCAGTGGCTGCTGCAATCTCCAGGGGGGCTCTTTTTTCCCCGGGGAGGGGAGGACCTCAAGTGGAACCCACTGTCTGGGCCTCCAAGGCTGGAAAGAGCCATGAGTCCTGGAGGTGCAGGCTGGGGGTCAGCTCGAAGAGCCCTGGCTACCTCCCCAAGCCAGCGTCCCCCTCAGGACAGCTCTGGACTCAGCAGGCAGAGGTGGAATTCCTTCTGTCAACAAGGAAAGCACTCAGGTAGAGAAATCCTGAACCTCTACGCCCCTCCCCCAGTCCCCTTCACCCAGGTCCCTGTCCCACTTCTCTCCCTCTCTCTCTCTCTCTCTCTTTCTTTCTCCTCCCTTCTTTGCCCCCTAATCACAAAGTTCTCTGCTTACTTACTGTCTCTCAGGTATGAGCAGTGGTGAACTCAGAACCCAGCCTCACATTGTTACCCACGAACCACCCCACCCCAACCCGCAGCCATCCTCCTTCGGGTTTCTGTCCTGGGTTAGATGCATTTTCTCTCCTCACAGCCCCACCCCATCAGCACCAAACACCCCACCCTTGAACAACTCGCTAAGAAAAACAAGCATCCTCACTCTGGCTGTTTGTATATCTCTTTCAAACACTCTCAACACCTCTCTTTCTCTCTCTCTCTCTCTCACATACAGACACGCACACCATCCTTCTGTGACTCCCCCATATTTTGCCCTGCCCTGGGCTCATGCCGACCCAGTTTTCTCCCCAGCTTCCTTTTCTGCACACGCACTTTTGCAAAGCCCCCTCCCCAGCCGGCCCCTAGGACCTCCCCCCCCCCCCCGCCAGTGCACACCCCTCATCCCAGCATCCTTTTCCACACACACCCCACTCTCCTGCTCGCTGCCTCCAGCTGGAGCCCACACCCAGACTTGGTCAGGCAGAGGGACCGAGAGCGATGTCATGCCCGGAGCCTCAACCTGCCCTGCACCCGCACCCGCACCCTCTGTTGCCCCTGCTTCTCCCTTGCCCACCTGCCATCCTCTCTTGTCCTCCCCTCACCCCTCGGTCTGGCGCTGCCTCTCTTCCCATCGCTTCCAGCCCCGATCCCGCCCACTGGGGAATCACCCCAGCTCCCTTTCCTTCATCCAGACACATTTTTCGGAGCCCCCAGTCTCCCCCATACTCCCACAGGCCCTCAAGAGCCTACTCACTTCATTCCAAGGACACAGTCATCAATCTGCGGCAGACGCGGGTCTCCCTCCCTCATCCTGGGATCCCGCTTGCTCCTGCTTGCTTCAGAACAGATTGCCTCTCCAGCTCTTCCCCTCCCCCGGCCTCTCCTCCTCCATGTCTCCTTGATCCCAGGCCAGCATCTTCCGTGGTTTCCCGTCCTGTGGTCCCCGTGCCCCTTCTTTTACTCAAAATGGAAATCAGAGAGAAAGGATGCTTAGAAGAAAGTTCACAGAACCTGAATGCTTCTTTCTGAAACTCAGCTGGTGCTGAGGCTGCCGGAGTATGTGACTTCAGCCTGAGCCAGGTCTTTCCCCCTCCCTCCCCCCTTCCCTCCGTCTCTTCCCCTCCCTCTATCCTTCCCCCTCCTCTCTCCCTTTTTCGCTCCCCTTCTTTTTCCTCGAGGGCCAGGTACTGACGTTTCACTGTCTCTTAGCAACTGCCTCCACATCTCTGAGCAACAGGAGAACTGGCTGTGGACCCCACCACGATGGGAGAGGAGAGAATGAAGCACTTCACTAGGCAGAATTCACAGCCAAGAAGTCACAGGATCCTAGGGAGAGGGCAAGAGGAAAAAGGGGAGAGGATGGTGGGCAGGCCCAGACAGGGGCAGGGGAAGAGGAGCAGGCAGAAGAGAAGGCCAAAAAGCCCAGCCAGAGAGGCTGGAGTAGGGACAAGGCGCAGATATGGAATTGGAGATAGAGGGAGAGCTTAAGGGCATGGGACCCAGAAGCCAAAGCTGAGAGGGCTTGGAATGAATAGAAGGAGACTTAGTGGGGGAGTGGGGAACAAATGAAGGGCATCCAAGGTTTGAATAAGGATGGAAAGAAAACAGATGTGCATGTGACAAGTTTGCTCACTTGATGGGACGTATCTCTTCAGTCACTATATAGTATTCCTGGGTCTGAATGTGTTTTGGGTTCCAGGTACCAGATGGCTGGCTCAGGGCTTGTTAGGGACCACTGTAGTCCCTTGCAGGGACTACAAGGTCTTTTTCTGCTTCTTGATTGTCTCTAAGTCCTGACCCCATGAGCTCTCTGGGGGCTAGTAGTCTTGGTTGGAATGGACCAATTTCCCCTTGGTTTGGGATCTGAGAGTCTTTGGGTCCTGGCCAGGTAGGGGTACCTGGGGCTTTACAAACGCTCAGATCTGCTTCTAGGGGACTGGAAGCTTGTGGTCCTTTCTTCTTTCTCCAGGTCTTCTGTCTGTTGTCCTGTCCCCATTCCTCCTATTCCCCTACACTGTCAGAATGGCTGCAAAGGAAAGTGACATTTTTGCAATACTTCTTTTCTTGTAGATCCATTGAGTAAGTCTCTAGCAGTCCTACATTTAAAAAACTGGCTTGACCAGTTGGTTTGGTCAAAGAGCTGCCTTATTTCTTTGTTTTAATAAATATGTGTTCAGCATTTACAGATGATAGGCTTACAGCTGCCAAGAAAATGAATGGAGACTCTTTCCTCATAAAGCTGACCCTGGCCCTGTGTGTTTAGTCAGTTTCCCTGGGGCCTCTTGCGCTGAAGTAATATCTTAGGTCTTCTGGGGGAACCAAAGTGGAGTAATAGAAAACGAGTGTGGTCGGACTTGGTGGCTCAGCCTGTAATCCCGCACCTTTGGGAGGCTGAGGTGAGTAGATTGCCTGAGGATGCGGGTTCGAGACTCGCCTGGGCAGGTGAGACCTCATCTCTACAATAAATCAAAAAATTAGCCGGGCGTGGTAGCGCGCGCCTGTAGTTCCAGCTACTTGGAAGGCTGAGGCGGAAGGATCGCCGGAGCCCAGCAGGTCGAGGCTGAGGTGGCCGGGAGCGGCCACTGCACTCCAGTCTGGGTGACAGTGAGACTCCAACTCATAAAAAAAAAAAGAAAACGACTGTGAAGTTATACAGATTCTGGGCATTTGTAAAATTGTTAAAATCTTTGACACTGTCCTCTCTAACATGATATTTTCCCTCTATGGTTATAGAAAGTTGTTTTCCTTCTGTTTCTCTCATAAAGTGTTCATTTTGAAACTTGCATGTTTTACAAGGTCTAGCACAAAATAACATGGTAGCCACTACATAAATACTTATATGTTGGATTGACTGAGGTAAATGTGATTTCTACCTCCCTTAGAGAAGGGAATGTTTGTTTAATCTAATTTATGAGTTTAGAAATAAAATATTAATCTTAACCCAGAAAACACAACAACACATTGAGACAAGTAATTCATTAGAACTGAGGACTGTTGACCTTGGGAAAACAAAGCCAACATCAGATGCTACCATCAACTGAAAAATGGTAGAAAACATAATTATTGTAATAGAAGCCAGAAAAGGTATTCATATTTAATGTTGACTAGTGGTACTCTAAAAAATAGATAAAAACGATAGAGGTTTTCTTCCTTTACATGATATGGTTTATATTTACAATTAGAGTCAATAATATGACTAAAGGAAAATATTAGTGACAATTTCCTTAAAAAAATAAGATCTAGGTTGGCTCATCACCATTTGAAACTTCAGTTGCTTGACCTTTAAAATAGGGATAATGGGCCATGCTCAGTGGCTCAGCCTATAATCCCAGCACTTTGCGAGACAGAGGTGAGTGGATTGCCTGAGCCCGTGGGTTCAAGACCAGCCCGGGCAACTTGGTGAGACTTTGTCTCTACAATAAATAAAAAATTAGCTGGGTGTGGTAGTGCGTGCCTGTAGTTTTAGCAACTCGGAAGTCTGAGGCAGGATTGCCGGAGCCCAGCAGGTTGATACTGGGTTGGCTGTGAGTGTGCTACTACACTCCAACCTGGGCAACAGAGTGAGATTCCAACTCTAAAATAAAATAAAATAAAATAGGAATAATGGCACCTAACTCGAGTGTTTTTTTTAGGTACATGAGTTGTTATTAATAAGTCACTTAAAACAGTATACAGAGAGTACTACAGATGGGTTTGTTAAATGAATAAGTAATATAAAGCAAAATAAAATAAACAAACAATAGAGTATAAAATTGCTAAAACAGTTCTGCCGAAAGAAAAAACAAATGAATTACAAAAAAGGAAAACAAATGAATTACAAATGAAAACAAATGAATTACAAAAAAGGAAAAGTGAAGAAAGGAAAATATTACATTTGCTGGTAATTTGAATGTATTGTGTGAGATAAGCTGTCAAACCTTCAGAAAATCCCAGCTTGAGAGCATTATCATTGCACACAATATCTTCTGTAAAAGTGAAGCTCAGTGGGACAGAAACATTTAAAATACCTTTTTGCTTTTAATCATTCTTTGAATCATTGTGGGATTCTATGAATCCCAAACTG